CTACAGGCGACTACAGAGGGCGACATAGTGAGACTCTGTCTCAAAAAAAGCCTACTACAATGGAAGCAGCCTATTAGGCAAGAGCCTGGGGCTGCTAGGACCAGAGAGTGATGTGACTTGCCCAAGGTCACCCAGTGGCCATCTTGGCACCTTAAAGGTCAGCAGAGAGATTCTGCCAGGTATCAGGCACTTTAAGGTGCCAAGGTGACTCTAGTTTGGGGATCATCTCCCCAAATCACCTCCAGCATCAAGGAGAGAGGAAAAGAGAATGCAACAGCCACCTCCTCCCTGAGATTCACTCTGCTCAAAGTCAAGGTAAAGAAGGAGACCGGCTCAAGGAGAATGACTTCTGCAGCCAGAAGGAAAGCCTTCTGCTAATGATAAACATCAGCTCTGGGGCACATGGGGACTGCGAAAGACTGGACGTCAGCCCTGAGGAGGGAGGAGATGCAGGCTTCTGTGAGCAGCTCTCAACTCACCAGCCCAGGGCCATTCAGGGGCCTGCTCTGGGCCCTGGGGGCAGGGGCTGGGTGGCCACCTGCCAGCCATGCAGTCTGGGCAGAGCAGGGACCCGCCTGGCCCCAAGCCCACCCTCCCAGAGTCTCCCAGGTCACAAAGCCTTTCCAACCTTGAGTACCAGCCCCTCTGGGTGATAAAGGGGGGACCAGCCAGCTAGGGTATGGTTGGAGGTGCCTAAGAAACAGGACACCAGGGTGAGGCTAGTCTGCCACCAGGGGTGGAGCAGAGGAATGAGCTCACAGCACTGAATGGTACCCTTGGCTGCACTAGGCGTGGGGTGCCACCACGGTCAGGGGCTTGCCTAAGGCCAAACATGTGGTAGGGCGTGTGCTCGGCAGTTTCCTTTTCAGCACAAGCACCACAGACACGGTGGTCTCAGCCTAACATGTCCCTTTGCACCTGCCCCAGCCAATATCTAGCCCCTCCACTCGTCACTCTGTTGTTTGGACTCCCCCAGAGCTGGTGACATGGCAGGATGAGGGCAGGAGGAAAGAGAGGTGACAGAGCCGAGGGGAAAAGCTCTCCCTCCCTCTCTTGTGCCAGCCTGGCCCACCTCCCCACCACTTCCAGTCCCTGAGCACTTCCCAAGGCGCTCCAAGAGAGGCCTCCGTGAAAACCAGGCCTTCCATCTGGTAAACTGGAAGGGAGGCTCTAGTGAGGCCTCTGCAATTGGCCAGGAGCAACAGGTGGTCCTGGGCTCTGTGGGCTGCTGCCCCACCAGGGAGCTCTTTGGGGGCGTGCCGGCTCCTGTGCATGCACTACTATGACACTGTGTTTGTGAGTCCCAGGGAAGGGAGACAGGACACTGAGGTGGGTGATTCTTGGGCTGTGATGGGGCCGTGAACAGAGAGGTGTGAGAAAATCTAACAAGTCAAGCTGGTTATGTGGTTTGTAAACTGTACAGTGCTATGCTTGTGTCAACAGTACCAGTAATGTTCTGAGGGACTCAGGGGAGCCACTCAGAGGACAGGCCCTGTGGGAGTGTGGCAGGGAAGAGGGAATTCTGGCTTCCTCTGCTAATCCCAGAGGCCAAACACGGCCAGTCCACCCTTCAACCTTTACGCTAAACCAGCAGGGGCAGCTCTAGGGTGGACTACCTGGAGGGTCACTTGGAGGGTCTTGTGGCCTAGGATAAATTAAATGCAAAGAGCAGGCAAATACCAAAGGCCACAGGGTGTTCAGGCCTGTTGTTTAAACCATCAGATAAAGCTACAGAGAACTGTTTTTTCTGTTTTTTTCTTTTAAATCTAGTTTTAAAGATGTCCAAAGCTACCACATCACACTCTCCACCCTCCCCAGCAGAGGTACTCAAGTGCTTTTAGGTAGGGATGGGCCTGAGAGGCCAGAAAAGCAGGAAAAAAGCCACTCTGGGGTGGAGCTGTCCTGGGCCACTGCAGGCTGCCTCTGACTTCTGCACCAGCTTCTGAGACCCAAGGCCAGGAGGCCCTGCCACTGGCAGCCCAGCAGAACCCACTCCCATCCAGTTCTCATAACTTAGAGGAGGAGCACTTGGCCTATAGCTTCCTTCCTTCCTTTGGGCCTGGAGCTGAGCCATCATCTCTGGGCTTGCCCCAATTCCTCCAGAACAGTGGTTCTCAACCTTCCTACTGCCACAGCCCTTTAAGCCCACAGGTTGAGAACCGCTGCTCTAGAAAATAGGGACTCATCCTCATTACCCCCAAGACCCTAGCCTCTGCTCCAGCCCTGATATGAGCCCAATCTGGAAACCAAGAACCAAAGAGAGGGGGCAAGAGAAAAGAGAAAGCACCAGTAGACCCTCCCTGGGACCTGGCCAGGAATCACAGGCTCACTAAGGGAGGGTCCCTGCCTCTTGTCCCAGGGACTTGGGGCTCTAGTCCTCACTCTCCAATGGCTCTCCGCAGTGGGGCACACCAGCTGTGGGAGTCTGGCCGGACCACCAGCTGCTTTGCTCTGGGTGGGAAAAGAGGTCACATAGTGGCCCTTCATATCAGTGGGTTCTGCAACCATGGATTCAGCCAACCTCAGACTGAAAATATTCAAGGGGAAAAAAACCCAAAAATGACAATATGACAAAAAATATTACAAAGTTAAGAACAATATAGCATAACTGCTATTTACATAGCATTTAATTACGTTACTATTATAAGTAATCCAGAAATGATTTAAAGTATATAGGAGTTGGCTCAGCGCCTGTAACTCAGTGGCTAGGGTGCCAGCCACATATACCGAAGC